GAGTAAAAACACAGAGCTGACACTGAGTTTCTACGCTCGCTCAGCCTTTGAAGGAACGTGAAAATCTTCTCCCCCGAGCCACAACTGAGCTGAACTTTGTGCGTTTGTTTGTCAAGTACAAATTCGATTCGACTAAAATCTGAGCCCATAGACAGATTCTTGTTGTATTTTTTTGTGTGTGTGTGACAGTTTCACACTGGGCAGCGGCGGCTGACAGACTGAAAACTCTTTTGTAAAAACACAAAGTGTTCTCCTGTACGGCTTGGTTTATTCACGATAAAGTCTTTCATCCCAGCAGTGAAGTCACAAGAGTTTTTTTTTTTCTTATTCAGGAGCAAAAAGGACTTTGAAGAGTGTCGCCATGGCAACAGTACAGCGCACAGGTTGCCAAAGGTAAAGGTAAGTTGACGACATCCTGAATGTTATTATCGCAGGTTACCCGCGGTGTTATGAGCAGGATGTGGTTTTATTAAACTTACTAATGTGGATCAGCGCCGTGCTCGTGGGCTTTTTATTATCTTCCTGCTTTACGTGATGCAGGAATAAAAAAAATCACTTTCTCAACACGAGTGCAGAAAATCAAAGTAAAAGCTCAGAGTTTTACTGAGTTGTACATGTTTTCATCAAACCTTGWAAATCATCAAATCGTGTCACAATCAACACAATCGTGTCGTCCAACCAGTGGTGCCTGCAGAAATTTTTTTCAGGGGGGCCATAGCCCCCCGTGGCCCCCCCGCTGCTGGCACCCCTGCGTCCAACACTAAATATGTCTACGCTTCTGGAATAAAAAAAATCTACTGGTAGCTTCTTTTGGACAAATACGTACTGTAATGTTAAAAATTACATCAAATATTTAGCCGATATGAGTGATAAGTTGTTTAAGATGTTAAAGCAGAAATGGCTTCTCATTTAGTGAATTAGCTTTTTTGCTAACATTGGAAACCGTTKGCAGACTYATTAGCCTCCGCTAAATTAAAGTCCACCAAAAAAAATTCACAAGTGTAACACWTCTGTTTTTAGACATTTATCCCGATTAGCCCAAATTAAATAAAAGATATCTCCTCTTTCATGCAATGCTGGACGTGTTAGCCACTGTGTGTGTAGCATGTAGCGTCTTTAGCGGCTAAATTTCACGCTACGTGCGTGGAAAAAGAAATGGAATGAAACATTTAACAATATTTAATTAATGAATATAATAATGACTACACAAATTGCTATTTGTTGTTTGACTAACTTCAAACTTCATTAAAAAAAGGCTTTTATACTGAAAGGGTTAAGCTGGAAGTATCACAATTAGACAGACATGAATCAGGTTTGGATTGGCCGATTTGCCACAGATGATCCCGCCCACCGTCAGATTAAACCAATAGAATCAAACTAAAAATAGGTTTGCGTCAGTCCCGCTAACTTTTAGCGATTAGCGTTGGCGTCCCCTAATCTGTTTAGCGGTTTAGCGTTAGCAGAGCTAAGGTTCTTGTCTAGCAAACTAGTGTTTAGTGAAGCTAAATTTTTGGTTAGCTGTGCCCACAACTGCTGTTGTGAAAATATTTGTAAATAAAGTCAAATATTTTAAAAGTACAAAAGCCATTTCCTGAAGGAGCTGAAGGTTTTGATGTATGAGAGAATAAAATCTCTAGTTTCATTCAAAAACACCTGGTAAACAAAAATCTTGGAAACAATGGAGCAAGTGCTGACTCAACATTTACATATTTGACACGCACACACACAGGTCTGGTTTGTATATCCCCGTGGGGACCGTGCATTGACTTCTAAATCTGACCATTTACCCTAAAATTAACCAGGTACCTGCCGGACCCTAAAACTAACCTAAACTRAATRCATACSTTGGTCCTAAACTTAACCCCCCTCACCCYTAATTTGCATTTGGACCRGTGGGGGCCGGACATTGGTCCCTATGACGCACACTGGTCCCCATAAGGCTGCTTTTTTGGGAAAATTTTCCCCACGATGTAGGAAAAACAAGGCCACTATGTCTCTCTATCCTTGTGGGGACATTCCATTGACTTCTAGGGCTGTGTATTGGCAAGAATTTGGCGATACGAC